GAGTTTGAACTTTCTGAAAAAATTTGGTTTTATTTGGTACCAACAGAAATTAATGTTCATCTTTGATTTAGAGTTTAAGTTATTTACACGGTTGAGTTCGTATTGAAAAATGGAGCAAGTTTCATGTTTATACTTTTGCAAATGATTGAGAAATGAGGAAGTTACAAAATTCAAAAATGGTGTTGGAGATGTTGGCGCGAGGTTAGGGATGAAGTTCCATTAGGAAGAGGCTTGTTTTAAATTTATTGCAAGTTATATTATTAACGGATAAAACAACCACCCCATTGGTAGAGGAAGCGCGCGTAAGACATTGATGTGTAGAGACATGGGATCCAGCCCCAATGGTACCCTTTTGTTTTTTTTACCTTTCCTTCTTTCAGATTCTATACAGGCAGGCTATGCGCGCCTACCATGCGCTTCACACTAAGACCATCAGATCACTATGAAACAAGTCCAACACATCAGACGCGCTTGTCCACCACGGACTCTCATAGGCCAGCCACATGGGATCACCAACAACGATGGGCCTCTCAGAATCTGGGTCTGTTTCTGTTTTTGTTTTTACTTCTTCTCACCCCCATTTTAATTATGTACAGGCCCATATACATATTTTTTTTATTTGGATTTTCTGACTTAAACAAAAAAACTTTTGGGTCTGGCGCTTCATTTTCTCTGTTAAACCTCCACTTTACTTTTCAAACACCCAAACCCAATTATTTTTATTTCTTTCATATTTATTTATTTATTTATTTATTTTATCTAAACCAAAAATACCAAAAATATAATTTCTTAATTAAATTAAACAATGTTTTAATTTAGGTATTTTATTTTATTTTATTAAATTAAATTTTATTATTTTCTTTTACAAATTAGTATTAACCTTCAAATTATTTTCTAAACAAATTAAAATTAGACTTAAGATTTATTTTAACTAACTTAGATTTTAGTATTTGTTAAATATTAATTAACTTCTCTATAATTAAATTTAATTAGTCTAATTAGGTTAACTATTAAATCTTACTTTCTATCAAAAACCATAAAAAATAAATTCTTCTTCATCTTTACATTTTTGTACATTCTATTATTATTCATATATAATGGTTTATAATAGTAATTAGGGTTTTATTGCTTTCCTCTCCCTATTCACAAACTTGTATCCCCATTCCTAAAGCGTTATAATAACGTATGACCTTTAAATTCCACAATGTATCGCTTTCCTTATTATTGCTAGTACTTAGGGTTTGCATGACAAAACTAAAATCAAACTTTGCAAAACCCTAATTCAAAAGATAAAATACTTGAAAACAAAACACTTTGCACACATGCACCTCTAGGATAACCCACACTTGTTGCCTCAGATAAAAACAATCGTGTCCCTCGAATATGAGATGATTTAGCAAAAGACCCTCGATTAAAAGATCATAGTCCCTCGATGACCCTTCAATGTTGCCTTCGGTAAATGATCTTAGTCCCTTATGACAAATTGTTAAAACATCTTACAAGTTGCCTTCTATGACTGTACAATGACTCATGCATGTCCCTCACATCCAATGATATGGCTCTCTACCAATCAATGGTAAAATAACACTATCTAAAGGAGGAAAAGAATAAAGACTTTTTGAGTAGGTAGATTGCTCGTAATTTTTTGCTCACAAACAAAACCATTCCACACCTCACACTTTCAAAATACTTTCCAAAATAAACATTTTGTATACATTCTCAACAATACGAGAATCACTACAAAATGACCTTACATTGGAATTTTCAAAACATATTTCAAACACTCTTTTTCAACAAATATTTTCAAAACCAACACTTTGTATACATTCTCAATGATGCGAGAATCATTGCAAAAGTTTGCCAAACTTAGGCGTTTTAGAAATATTTTTCAAACTTACACAAACACAAAGCATTTCAAAGGGAGCTAGCAATTAAGAGCCCATAGATAACTATGGATGAAAAGGGTGCTAACACCTTCCTTTTTCATAACCTACCCCCCGAACTCAAGAAAATTCTCAAAAGGTATTTCATGTTCTTTTCACCCTTTACTTTATTGGATAAAAGAAAAGTCGGTGGCGACTCTTGCTATCTGCAACACTTGCGATAAAACGCAAAACACCAAGTCAGTTCTCCCACCATATCACACTTTCATAATCAGATGATATTAGTATGTAATCATGATCATGAGGCCCTTCCACACCATCGACACATGTATAATCGATAGCTTTTCCCTTGCCTTTTTCACCGCTTTCCCCTGCGTTAACACCATTACCCTTTACTATTGTCTTCCCCTTCCCATTATCAGGCACTACACCAGCATTGCTCTTGCCGTTAGATGTCTCATGACCAACTGTCAACTTGGCCTTGCTTTTTCACCCCTTGCCCATGCGTCAACACCATTACACCTTCTTTTGTCTTCCCATTCCCATTATCAGGCACTACACCAACCTTGCTCTTCTCGATAGATGCCTGATGACCAACTGTCAAGTTGGTCTTGCATTTTTTCACAGATTTCCACTCCCGGCAAGCCAAATATGCCAAGTAGTTCCGCGTGCGTTTCCTATAGAGATCCTTTTTGTCACGAGGACTACAAAATGAAATTCGTCATATAAAAAATTCAGAATAAATGCATGAATACACGATGCAACAATGTTTAAACCCGAAGTCACACGATGCAGTAAACATAACATTTCTGGTTTATTAAACAACATTTTAATTAGTTAAGGACCACATAACCCCCCCCTTTATGTTAATCAGAAGATCAATGGCGATCAAAACACATGCAACTGATTCTTACGATCAAATGGACTACGCATGTTGGAATACCCTACAACAATTAACAGCGACAAATGCAACGCTCTTACCGTGAAGGAAACTCTTCAATTGTTGGTAATTTCTTGGAGTTGGATTGTCCTTCCATTGTTGATGAACTGAGGATTAACTTGCGCAAGGTGTGTGAATGAATTTTTGAAGAAATAATTATGTGTGGAGAAAATGGAATGATGGAAGAAAGAGTAAAATGAGACGATTACTATATCACTTTAATTGACTCTTTACTGTTTTATATTCTCAACATTATGCACTTAATCTACTAAATGATCCGTTTTACTTTTCTTTTGATATATTGAGATATCCCTTTAATTTGATTTACCAATAAATTCATAGCTTATTTTCTTTATTATTTCTTTTCTAAACTAACCACCAATTTATATAATTAATATTTAATTGATCAAATTATCTGTTCAAATGTATCTATTACTCTCTTTTTTGTTTTTTATGTGGGATAAAAATTGTATACATTATTTATTTTATTTATATATATTATTGATTTTACATAAAAAAAACATTTCAATTTTAAAATAAATACTAAATCTATCTGATATATCTAGTCCAACCCACACCAGTACTCCTACGGATACACGATTATCTTACTAGTTAATGTAACAGAACTTTAGAACTTTGGAACTTTTTTATTATATTGAACTTTTGACTCATAAAAACATGTTTAATGGAGTGAAAGATAAGAAATTAAATTGGTTCGATTAAATTATTTTTTGTAGAATCAAATTGACACGTAGGATTTAAAGAATTTTTAATTGATATAATTTATTTTAATTTTAATGGTGATTCTTGATAAATAATTCATACTCACCACATATATTTATTTTTATTTTAATGGTGGTTCTTTATAAATAATTCACACCACATATTTATATTTATTTATTTGTTAGTTAATATTGCAAGTATCAAAATGACCATTAAATAAATTTTTATGTTAAATATTATTGCAAATAGTATTAGTTACCGTTGACTATGGAAAATACGTATTCTATAGTTGTTATCAGATAGATTTAGTCCAATGGTAATACTCTATAAGTACTTGGAGCTATAGTAAACCAATACTTTAGTTTACCCAAGTTAAAGTTGCTTTAATGAAAAAAAGAAGTTAGTTTTGCTCTGTTAAAAAAATTAATGTAATAGAAAATAACAATTTACATATATTAGATATACATTTTTTTAGTTATATAGTTCATTTTTTTAGAACTTATATGCATTTTTGATAAATTTTACTTGTGAATCATGCCAACATTAAAACAATTAATCAAAAATATTTTAAAAAAAGAATTTAGTTTTATTTTTAAATAATAAAATAACATGATAAATATAAAATTTTTGATTGATTATATTGTAAAATTATTTTACACGAACACTACACTATCTTTAAACTTTATAAATAAATGTAAATGATTGTATTTTGCTTGTACCGAAAAACTTTTTATATTATCAATATATTTTTTATATTATCGATATATAATAATTAAATTTATATAAAAAATAACAATAAAAATTAAAATGCAACCCACAAAAAATTACTTTTTAAGCAAAAAAACATAAGAAAATATATTAAAAAACAATTTCGTTCAATTTCCATTCTTAAAAATTAACTTTAAAAATATTAAATGATATGAAAAGAATAAATTGTCCAAATCCAATTCATTCCTTATAGATTTCAAATTCATTTATATAATTAGGTTTTTCAATGTTAAATTCTCGTTAGTATATCACTCTTTCAAACACAAACTGTAACAAAAATCCAGCAAAACCCTATCATCGCCGTCGATCCGGCGGCAGTCTCCGCCGGCATTGTCATCTCTGCTCATCATCTCCGTTTCACCTCTCCGCCCACAACTATTACAAATCAGAACACAAATCTCCATCCTGACTCACTCTCACCTCATCACTATTTCAAAATTTTGCGCCTCAATTTCATTTCGGTTAGTTCCTTCATTCTTCAATTTCCTCTTCTTCAATTCATGCTGAAATCTTGAACTTTTTAGGGTTTGTTCTTGTGTATTCAAACAACCAAGTTATTGTTCATACATTTCATAATAATTACTTTTGGGTTTCAGATTGCACTGCACTTCCAAAAGAATTGGTTGTGCAGTCCTTATTTTCATCAGAACCAATCTTTGCGTTTATCGCGGTTTCTAGGTTCTGCTATGGCTGCTGATTCCTCTGTAATCTTCAATGGAAATGGCATTGGCAATGGCAATGGTAGTAGTATCAACCCACTGCCTAACCTACAGAGAACTTACCAAGTTGTAGTGGCTGCCACCAAAGATATGGGCATTGGTAAGGATGGAAAGTTGCCATGGAGATTACCTACTGATCTCAAGTTTTTTAAGGAGATAACTATGACGACTAATGAATCCGGGAAGAAGAATGCCGTTGTTATGGGAAGAAAAACATGGGAGAGCATTCCTTTTCAGTTCAGGCCTCTTCCTGGTCGGCTTAATGTTGTTTTGACTCGCTCCGGTAGTTTTGATGTTAAAGCAGCAGAAAATGTTGTAATATGTGGAAGCATGTCTTCTGCGTTGGAACTTTTAGCTGCTTCTCCTTATTGTACGTCGATTGAGAAAATATTTGTCATTGGTGGTGGTGAGATATTTAGGTATTACTTTGTTTTATTTTTCCTGGTTCCTCTTCTCTTTTTTTTTTTTTTTTTTTTCAAGTTTAGTATTTTCTCGGTTATAGACTTATAGGTGATTATTTTTATGTATAGAGATGCTCTCAATGCTCCCGAATGTGAAGCTATCCACATCACAGAAATTCACACAAGCATTGAGTGTGACACTTTTATGCCTCCGATTGATTTCACTGTATTTCGGCCATGGTACTCATCCTTTCCTAAGGTGGAAAACAACATTCGATATTCTTTCACCACTTATGTGCGTGTAAGGAGTTCTGTAGCAGAGTCATTGAGTCAGAATACTGATTCACCTATTGTTGATAATAAACTAGCTTCTAAAAAATTTGAGGTTCAAAACTTCTCTTTTCTTCCGAAAATGGTTTTTCAGAGACACGAGGAATACATGTATCTTAATCTGGTTCAAGAAATCATATCTCAAGGTACCTCCAAAGGTGATAGAACAGGGACTGGGACCTTGTCAAAATTTGGTTGCCAGGTAAAATTTCAGTTAGTGTACTGTGGGTTGATGCAATTTATATGTTTACGTTGTATGTAATAATTCCACAGATGAGGTTCAATCTGCGCAGAGGCTTTCCGCTTCTAACAACTAAGGTATGTAGTAGAGATTATGGTTTAAGTCATGTTAATCAACTGTGTAAAATAACTTGTATTTTTAATGTTAACTCATTTTTTTGTTCAATGTTTTTCGGTCTTTATTGAGGAAGAGTTGGTTTTGTTATTTACTTATTTGTTTGCTTACCACTCTGTCTTTATTGGGGAAGAGGAATATCTATTTGTATATTTTGATAAAAAAGGTAAAGTGATATCTACATTTGATTGCTAGAGAGTATTTTGGCGCGGGGTTGTTGAAGAGCTTCTTTGGTTTATCAGTGGCTCAACAAATGCCAAGGTATTATATCTTTTATCAATCTTATCTACACACATTTAAATCCTCAACTTTCTTGGTCACTAACCAGCTGATATGAGCCAAATATTGTGGTGCATACTGAACTGTCGAACCGAACCGAACTGAGGTTAAAATAACCAAACCGTTATGTTTGGTTTGTGAACCAAACCATATTACACAAACAGTTTTAGAATCGAACCGAAACTGAAACCAAACTGAACTGAAGCTGAAACCGAACCAAAACTGAAAATGAAAAAAATACTAAAATTAAGTTTTAATTTTTTTTTTAAATTGAAAAATAGTTTAATGGTTTGGTTCTTTAATAAATGGTTCGGTTTGGAAAAAATTGTCCTCTAATGGTTCGGTACAGTTCGGAATTTTGAAACGGCATACCAAACCAACAAATTTGGTTCGATTCGGTTCTGAGTAAATTGAAACGGTTCAGTTCGAGTGAACTTTTACTATGGTTTGGTTTGGTTTGGTTTGGTTTGGTTCAGTTTTTTCCTTGAACCGTACCATGAACAGCCCTGGTGGTGCATGGGGTATTTTATGTTATCTGAGCTTAGGTTTGACAGAGGCAGAGCACTATTGAAAGCATGTTATATAACCCACTTATATTGACAGCTGTTACAGGAAAAAGGCATTCATATATGGGACGATAATGCATCCAGGGAATTCCTTGATAGGTGAACATGATTGTTAATTGTTGGAACTTTTAAATACAAAATTGTACACATCTCTTCTTGTATTCAACGAGGGGCTTTACATTTATTACAGCATTGGTTTGTCAGAGAGGGAGGAGGGTGACTTAGGACCTGTTTATGGGTTTCAGTGGAGGCACTTTGGTGCCAGGTACGTGGATTTGTTATACCTTTTTTTCCAGTGGGTTAATAGACTACTTATGTTGTAATATGCTCTTTATTCCCCATCTTACCTTTTATAGGTATACAAACATGCATAATGACTATACTGGCCAAGGAGTTGATCAGCTTTTAGATGTTATCAACAAGATAAAGCATAATCCTGATGATAGACGGATCATTCTCTCTGCATGGAATCCAGCAGATCTTAAATTGATGGCACTTCCACCCTGTCACATGTCTGCGCAGGTATGCAACTTTATCTGGGTTTCGTTTTGAAAAATCTCTCCATACCTCTCTAGTCTGTCTCTCCATCCTATTAATTTATATTCTAAATTTTAATTTTTGCAGTTCTATGTAGCAAATGGGGAGTTATCGTGTCAAATGAATCAGCGATCTGCTGATATGGGCCTGGGTGTGCCATTCAACATTGCATCTTATGCCCTCCTGACATGCATGATTGCTCATATTTGTGGTATGCAAATTTATCTAAGCATCTGTTGTAAAGTAAATCATGTTATAATATGTATACACCATTTTAAATCTTGAGGTTTTGTGGGTGTAATAAGAGATAATGTATGTTATTTTATTTGGTTATAAATGTCTTTAAGCTTGTTACTTGGCGTTGGGTTCAGTAGATTTTAATTACACAACTATTCATTTCCCGTGTAGAGCCCTTGGGTAATTAGGAGTAAAATGTTCATGAGCTGAGCTCAGCACAATTGGTTTGCATCAGGGGTCAACCCTAAACCCCTACCTTTTCACCTTAATTTTAGATGTACTCACGGAACAAATCCAAGAGATAGCGCCGAAATGCATGCTTTTTGCAGATGATATAGTCCTCCTTGGAGAGTCGAGGGAGGAGTTAAATGAGAGGTTGGAAACCTGAAGAAGGGCTTTAGAAACACATGGCTTTCGCCTAAGCAGAAGTAAGTCGGAGTATATGGAAAGTAAGTTCAACAAAAGAAGCAGGATTTCTAACTTAGAGGTGAATGTAGGAGACCATATTATCCCTCAAGTCACACGGTTTGAATATCTTGGGTCCGTAATACAAAATGATGGAGAAATAGAAGGGGATGTAAATCATCGTATTCAAGTTGGATGAATGAAATGGAGAAAGGCATCAGGTGTTTTATGTGATGCAAAGGTACCGCTCAAGTTAAAGGAAAAGTTTTATCGGACTACGGTAAGACCTGTGATTTTGTACGGAATATAATGTTGGGCGGTTAAGAACCAACAGAGAATAAAGTAGGTGTAGCGGAGATGAGGATGCTACGGTGGATGTGTGGTAAGACTCGACAATATAAAATTGGAAATGAAATTATTAGAGAGAGTGTTGGAGTAACGCCTATTGTAGAGAAGATGGTGGAAAATAGACTTAGGTGGTTTGGGCTTGTAGAGAGAAGACCTGTAGGCTCTGTAGTAAGGAGAGCATACCAGATGGAGAGAAGACAAACAATTCGAGGAAGAGGAAGACCCAAAAAGACTATAAGAGAAAGTTATCAAGAAGGATCTCGAAATTAATGATTTGGATAGAAGCATGGTCCTTGATAGAACATTATGGTGAAAGTTGATCCATGTAGCCGACCCCACCTAGTGGGATAAGGCGTAGTTGTTGTTGTTAAATTGAGATTTACCCTAGGAAGTTAGGCTTATTTGGTTTGTTCAAACTATTAGAGATGTAATATCAAAACCTTTCATGATTTTTCACCTCACAACTTAAGTTTATGGGGTATTTGATTTAGAATATAGTATCCGATGTTTTTGACCAAAATGTCTCGAGTTAGTTTCTTCTTGCCCCTATTCTTCTAATAATTTCAACACTAGGTAGGCGGGCATGTCCATACTTTAAGTCATGTGTACACTAGAGGTGGATACATTAACTGTTTTATGTATCCATTTTTAGTAACATGAATAGTTTTGAATACAAGGATTAAAGCTCTTATTTTTCTGTTTCTCTTCCCAATATTCTATCATAATTCACTTTTCAAGTTTTAATATTTTTATAGCCATTTTGGTATATTTGCTTTTAGACAAAATGTATTAAGATATTTTTACTTCACTGATGAAGGTTGGATAAAAAAACTAGGGATAAACAAATGAAAAGTTAAAAATATGTATTCACATCGTGGAAACACAGTTTTCGCCAATGTAGAAGTAGAGAGAATGTTACGATGGATCAATAGTGGCACAAGACAAGGTAAGTGTTGTGAGTCCCGCATTGGATGTAATATGGTCTGAAGATGTGTTTTAAGTAGATTTTGTAGGTTGAGTTACACATAACCCAAATTTTAAGATGATGGTATTATAGCCTATGAAAGATCCACTGGAATACCCGCAATCAAGCCACTTGGTTCATGCTCTAGATGTCTAGTTCTTTGTGTGAGGAGTGTATTCACAGTCCCACATTGGATGCTTTTTATTTTTTTATAAAAAAAATTGAGGAAGGGGGTAAATTATTAATAATTGAAGTGGTACTAATGACTATTTTACATCTGTCCCCGAGGGGATTTGAACTCTGTTGCTTGAAGGTACAAGATCCCACATTGGATGTAATATGACATGAAAATATGTTTATAAGTAGGATGCATCCCTCACCTTACAAGTCGGTTTTGTAGCATTGAGTTATGGGGAATCTGTATTTTAAGAGCAAAGTTAGAAGTACAATAATTAGTAAGTTTGAGTTTCCCTCATTGTAGAATAGATGGTAGTCTTGTCTTAGGTGGTTTGGGTATGTGTGGAGAGGGCTTGCAGAAGAGGGGAGTTTAACAGGTGGAGGATAGCTTTATACTTAGGTAGATCAAAGAAAACTACGGGCTAAACCAATAAAGGAAAATTTAGGGGTAATGGTCCTTGGGTCTTATACTTGACAGGATTAATGAAATCAATTTACTCACTCAGCGGTGTTTTTACTTGTTGAATTAGATTGGGTGTTGTTGGATTTAGGATTCAAAATTTTATTGGGTTGATAATATCTCTAAAGATATCAACAAGTAATTTGAAATTGAAACCATCAATTCTTATATTATGTTTTTTTCTTGTCAGAACTTGTTCCAGGTGATTTTATCCATGTTCTTGGGGATGCACATGTTTACCAAACTCATGTGAGGCCTTTGCAGGAGCAGCTTCATAACCTGCCAAAACCTTTTCCAGTATGTGTAATATTTAAGAAAAATATGTTGCTTTTATGTAGTTAGGCACACTATTTTTTTAACCATTTAGCACTATAGATTTGTGCTCGATTACTCGTTTACATGCTGACTAAACTCACTCCAATGCAGACTTTGAAAATCAATTCAAAGAAGAAAGATATGGATTCTTTCGTGGCTACTGATTTCAAGCTCATTGACTATGATCCTCACCAGAAGATTGAGATGAAGATGGCTGTTTAAAATAAGGGAGATCTTAGTCTCTACTTCAGGTTGTTTCTGCTGTTTGAAATGAGGCAAGTATGCAATTTAGTTTTGTTGGATGTTTGTTTGCCATTAAGGTGATTCAGTTATTGTAGAATGTGGATCGGTGCTTTCTTTCTTATGGTCCATGAGCTCAGAGCCTTGGTGAGCATGCATGCTCAAGTGCTGCATGACATACTAAATGCCAGAACTGAGTTTGTGGTTCATTTTTTGTCTTATCTGTAACTTAATTTTCACATTTTATTATTTGATGTTTCATGTCAATTCTAAAACCTTGCATTTTCAATGTTTCAGGCACAACAAATAGATTTATGGAAGTAACATCAGTTTGTTGAACGCACGTTAATGCAGTCAAGTCATGCCAATAATTTAACAGAAATTGTGTACACCAGAACCCATCATGAGAATGGATTTCCATGTGCGATTTGGAAGCATAGGTAGTTATTATTAGGAAGTATTTCAAGGGAGCTATAAAGCATAGGGGTTAAGACCATTTCTATTTCTCAAAAAGTACTAACTAGTAACCAGTAACTAATGAGCTTTTAAGCCATTTGTTTGTTATTTTTGTAATTTAATGGGCTATTTAAGTTAAATACATCCCCTTAATAAGTGGTGTATGACGGTTCTGTCGACACTCCCTATGGATGGGACTTTAAACCAAACTGCTCCGGTGGAACGGTTGGCAGGCTCATCTATAACGTATTCTGTAGATCTTAAGGAAAGCAGATGGGGATACAATCAATAAGCTTCCTGCCTGGTATCAGATTGGATGCACTGGCCAGGCTATCTCATAGTCTGGTACTCACTGCCAGTAGACTGAATCAGGTAGACAGTCAGCTCTCGGTTACTGCGGGAGAGAGTGCTAGTCTAACTGCCGGTACGGGTATGCTAATAGATAGAGGATCCGCCAGTCCTAGAATCAGAAAGTAGTTTGTCTGCCGGACTGGCTGCTTCATTGAATGTGTCGATCTTATTCTATATAAGGAGTTGATTTGCATCCTTGTCTGGCAGTTAGCTAAGCGAGAAGCTGTGATCGAGGAAGCCCCGCCCGGTAGTGCCTCTACTCTATTAGTCCTAGTACTAGATACTAGATAGACAGGCCGATCACCGGTGGCATAAGATCCTTCTCTGCTTGTCTAACTCAAGCAGATAGCAGCAATCACTCGAAAAGTGACATAGATTTAGGGTATGTCTTGTCACCACTAAGTTGAACCTGCCACTCCCAAATTGAACTTGACACCCCCAAACTCAATGAAAAGATCATAATATCTTTGTTAAATTTTTTAACTATCTTCAAAATTTACTCTGACAAAGTGGAAATTTCAATATCTCTCGTGTGATACCGGCAATTTCGAGGAGCTATAGGAAATTCTTCAAAAGAGTGAATAATTTATCAGAAATGTTGAAATTGTCGGAAGTTTTTTCTGAAAATTTTGGAAGCTGATATTGGAAATTATGAAAAAATTTTGGAAATTTTTTCTAGAAATTTGAAATTTCCAGTTTTTTTTTTCCAATCCAATTGTACATGAATTTCCAAATTTTTTGGTAGTTCAAAACAATTGAATTTTTTTGGAAATCTCAGAATATCTGGTAATGGCTAAGAATTTCAGAAGTTTATCATTTTTCTATTTTGCAATGAAAGTTAGGGGAAGGACGAGACCTTTGGAAGCAAGATGACACTAAGAGCGACAATCTGGACTAGAGTTACTGATGTAGAGTCTTCCCATCTACGAGTTGTTCCAATCGATTTTCATCGAAAATTGTTGACTGAGTAGTCGTAGGTCCAGTTTCGTGCACCCTGACGCTGGGCATTTAGAGTTGATGCTGAGACTGTTGCTGATGAGGTCCCTGTTGCTGAGGAGGTTCCTGTTGCTGAGGTTGATGATGAGGAGATTCATGTGCCGGTTGTTGATAAGAAGGTTCCTGTTGCTGAGGATGTTTCTTTGTAGGTTACAGATGCAAATGTTGATGATGAGGTGGCTCCAATACCTCCTATTGCCGTTGATGATACTCCTATTGATATAGATGTTACGACCCATGCTACTACAGAGGCACCGGTTCACACTAGTGGAGTGTTCTCAGAAGGACCTAGTGACCGATTAGTGCTGACAAAGTATGCTGACCATGCTTCATATAAATTATGACAGAGAGAGGTATATATATTTTATGTTTAACTTCAATTTATTTGTTATTGTTCGGTTATGTGTTGACTCTATTTTATGTTTTTTATCTTTATTTTTTACAGGAGCGTTAACTGCTGAAGGTGACCTCCCATGGTTCAAAGATGAAGAACTTTCCACACGGTCCGATCCCTGAGTGTAACACCCCTTCTAAATACCCCAATTAAAGGTAAAGATTAAAATCAGAGAAACAAAATTGCACGGAAGGGATGCCACAACACACATCACATTCCAAAGTTTTTAAGGAAAAACGGACAGGGTATGTTTGAAAGTATAAGCATTCCAACACAAAACAAAACATACCATAAATATTTACTTCATTCTCTCGTGCAAACGCAACGGAGTTTCATAATTTCACATCATCTCCATTTATGGAGGAATCAAAACATAATTCAAGGCATCAAGCCATCATAATTCACATAAGCATATGTTATCAAGTCTCACATATACAAAACATCATATACACGAATAAGGATTATATACATCATAATCCAAATACAAAATAATCGAGTTCGACACTAAATAAATCCCCCCCCCCCCCCCCCCCCCATGTGTTACTACCAGAGCATCGACTCGACTCTAATCAAAATAAAACAGATTGCAATCCAATGCATCCGTTAGCTAGCGCCTCGCGCTACCGTCCTCAGTACCTGCACAATGCCATCAAAAGCATTGGCCAACAAAAGGGTAAGAATTCCAATAATCATATAACATGTAATTTTAAGTAAATGAAATGGCAATAAATAAAGCAATACATAATGATCATGTTCATTTTATCACCTGTAGTATCCTTACTCAAGGAGTCCATTTCCAACACATTAACCATGTAAACCGATTATCCGAATATTCACATCCTTGGCACATAACCATAATTCAAACAACAACAATATTGGCACATAATCAAACACATCAACACACATACATAACATGCACAAATATACATGTGACTCACAACACGACTCAACGTATGCGAATGCGGTACCGACTCGTGGATCCAAGGTTCCACCACCTATATTTCCCTTCCGGATCAAGGTCACTACGTCTTTTCCCACAATAGGGTCACCGTCTAGATATTGTGGACCCAATGTTCCACCACCTATATTTCCCTTCCGGATCAAGGTCACTACGTCTTTTCCCACAATAGAGTCACCGTCTAGATATTGTGGACCCAATGTTCCACCACCTATATTTCCCTTCCGGATCAAGGTCACTACGTCTTTTCCCACAATAGGGTCACCGTCTATAAAATCATGTGAACCCACAGTTTCACCGTCTCTGTTTCAAGACCAACCATGCCATGCAATGTACAATATAACCAATTCATGCAATTAAGATTCACAATAATCTTAACATACACATACCATCAAATCCAACCAATGGAACATCAACTATTGCACATGCATGCATACATATAATTTAACAATCTCAACGTCAAGTAAAATGTATACAAACAAGTTACTTACTCAACCAAAACATAAACCATCAACTATCAACAATTCCAAATAGGAAAGTATATTTCAACATAAAGTCATTATCAATGAACCGTCATTACTCTCAATGTTTCTCATCACGATCGAGTCACCGGAATGTAACTCGAACGGTTAAATTCGGGATTAAACTCAACTTATTTCATTCGTACTAAAATCGGGTCGATTCTTAAAAAGTCGAAATTTCGCAAAACGAACTTCACTACGTTAATCTACACGTCGGATTATGCTAGCACGTCAATTTCTTTGAATTCGGAGTAACTTGCTCCGTCGACGAATATACCTAAATCGGAACACAATCGGGTTCCAAAAGAAGTGCGAAAAATCAGAATTTTGGAGGCTACAGAAGCATCAACACGGGCACCCGTGTGCTGCAACACGGCCCGTGTTGAGAGGCCACCAGAACGAGCAAAGAAAATGCCAAGTCAGAGCATCAACACGGGCACTCGTGTGCTGCAACACGGCCCGTGTTGAGAAGCCTGCGTGAAAACTCCACTCTTTTGAGTTTTTCTCATTCTACTACCATGGTTTTCTTTCCCATTTCAATACTCTTAATTTCTGCAAGCTAGCACCTAATACACCCACAAACCATACTCCTAATCCAACTTTTCTAAACCATTCTAACAATCAACCAACAAAACCCTATAAATCAACTATCAATTTTACCCCCAAATCCAAAATATATCATACAAAACCTAACAATATGAGATGGAGAATCAAACCCCTTACCTTGGTGTGAGTTTTCTTGAAACAAGATGATGAAGATGGTGCAACTCCAAACCTAGATTCCTTCCTTCCTTCTCCTCTTTCTCCCTTCTTTTCTTTCTTCTTTCTCTTCTTCCCACTACTCTTACTAACTCTCCTTTTCTATTTTATAAAACTATCCTTCTACTACTAACTTTCCTCCCTCTATCTTTCTAAATTTATAATTTGGCCCCAACAATTATTTAATTCAAATTATATCATATAATTCTATTAAAACCATATTACATTTATTTAATATTTATTCCATAAAAACTAAATTATACCGATAAATCAAATGAAGCAAAATACACACCAAAATAATATTACTCAAAATAGTATTTTATCATTATGAATATTTTTATTTCAAATAACCGAATTAACATTTAATCAAAAAAACGGGATGTTACAACTCTCCCCCACTTAAAAGATTTTCGGCCTCGAAAATTTTGACCAAAACGAACAAATCGGGACATGCCTACGCATTCGTCCACTCAATCCTTGCGTTAAATAAACAACATACAAAATACACCTAGCCCAAGGGCATCTCCCTAGCCATAACGTTTAGACAAGAACAACCATGCCGAGATGCGAAGCCCATACAATGCACTCGACAAACAACTAACACCCAACAACTAAATAAGTCGCAGACACACCGGTTCGCTCGATAACTAACCAACCAAGATCGATACCATCCTAACGTCTCAACCATAGAATTAGTCATACACTCGAACCGACGCCTCGGAAACGAGTCACCAAAGGTAGGAACATAAAGTCCTACGACACCACACCGACACCATCGCTAAAGCAAAAACAACAAAATGGTTATACAAACCAAAACTGAAACAATCAGAAAGGATAAAACCACGCGTGCTACGCAAACACGAAAAGATGTCATCATTCACGCATAAGTACGAACTCAAGAATTACACTTGCAGTTATCGCTCTCATTCCAGAAAAATCACAAGGCCACATCGCCCTTGTAGATTACCAACGTACCACCCTTGAAC